CTCAGGCCCCGCTGTCCTCTCCCGGACAGGTTCTGCGACCTGGTCCAGTCCTTCCTCGCCGAGCAGGCGGCGGGCGGCGAGGAGGTGCCCAGTCCCACGCAGCCCGTCCTGGAGGTGAGCCGGGCGCCTGGGCAGTGCCAGGTGGTGCAGGGTGACACGGGCTCTCAGCACATGCCTTTCTCTGCAGTACAGCTACGAGTACTCGGAGACGGGCGAGCGGGTGGTGCTGGGCCGGGGGACGTACGGGGTCGTCTATGCCGGGCGCTGTCTCAGCAACCAAGTGCGCATCGCCATCAAGGAGATCCCGGAGCGTGACAGCCGGTAGGTGCCTGCAACATGCCTCGGGGTCCCGGGGCACCCAGAGCCCCGTCGTCACCCTGCTGTGCCCACCGTGCAGGTACTCGCAGCCCTTGCACGAGGAGATCGCCTTGCACAAGCACCTGCGGCACAGGAACATCGTGCAATACTTGGGCTCTGTCAGCCAGGGCGGCTTCATCAAGATCTTCATGGAGGAGGTGCCGGGAGGTGGGCAGCGCTGGGGCCACGCGCCCAGCCCTGGGGGCCGGGGACGGCCGGGCGGGGGGGTCTTGGGGCATCCTGGGGACATGTGCTGCCCGTGGAGGACAGCCCTGCTCCACATCCACCAGGTGAGGGAGGGTGGCTGTGGCGTGGGGCACTGGGGCAGGGCGCTGACGTGGCCCATGGTCCCCCCTGTCCCCTCTCCAGGGAGCCTCTCGTCCCTGCTGCGCTCCAAGTGGGGCCCCCTGAAGGACAACGAACCCACCATCGTCTTCTACACCCGCCAGATCCTCGATGGGCTGAGCTACCTCCACGATAACCACATCGTGCACCGAGACATCAAGGTGAGCAGGGGTGATGCACGACGGCCCTGGCTGCTCGAGCCCTGGGAGCTTTTTGGCTCGGCCTGTTGGTTTATTTTCAAGTGCCCTTCCTTCACCAGGGAGACAATGTCCTCATCAACACGTATAGCGGGGTGTTGAAGATCTCTGACTTCGGCACCTCCAAGCGACTGGCAGGCATCAGTCCCAGTGCCGAAACCTTCACGGGTAAGGGGGCATCCCAGGGCTGGGGCGGCTGGTTCCCCCATTGTGGGGGCAAGGGAAAGGGAGGATGCTGAGGACAAGGCAATGCTGGGGTCTGCATCCCTCTGCCGTCCATGGGGTAGAGGAGGACCCACGGGAGGATTGGTTGGGTGATGGCTGCTGGCTCCCTTCATCCCCCTTCGTCCTCGTCTCCCCAGGCACCCTGCAGTACATGGCCCCAGAAATCATCGACCAAGGGCCGTGGGGCTACGGGAAGCCGGCAGATATCTGGTCCCTGGGTTGCACCATCATTGAGATGGCCACGGGAAAGCCTCCTTTCTATGAGCTGGGCAGCCCCCAGGCCGCGATGTTCAAGGTACCTGTGGGGCTGGGGACGGGGGGATGCCCCCTCCCTGTGGGGCCAGACCCTTCACAACCCCACGTGTGCCTCTCCTCCAGGTGGGCATGTTTAAGATGCACCCCGAAGTGCCCGAGTCCATGTCGGACAAAGCCAAGGCTTTCATCCTCCGCTGCTTCGAGGCCGACCCAGCCA